CCATTGCCAGGCCTAACTGTTACACACACACACACACACATTAGTACAAAAAAGACCTACGGTCACACTTTCCGAAAAACGGCCTGTGACACTTTTTATTAAAAGTGTGGCCAAAGGTCACTAAAAAAATTTAGAGACTGTTTTTGGATACATTTAAATTAGTTTGTGTGGTCATTATATTGATAATCAAAACTTTAACCACACTTAATTATACCAAATGTGACAAATATTAGTCACACTCGAACACTGAGGCCATAGGTCACAATCAGCCACAGGTATCGATTAAGATTGTCATACTTTTTTTATGAGAGACAGTAGATAAACGTATTGTGACATGAGTCAATTGTATGTGTGTCTATAACCTGGTGCCTTTTTTGCCACATAACAGACAAAGTAGCTAAAAGGTGATACATATGGTCACACTAAATATTTGTGTGTCCATAGGGCGGTTGTGTACTAGTTGTACTTAGTTAATGCAAGAAAAGAAAACAAGTTAGTATTGGTTATTTATGGTCATGTACATTTTATTATGTGTGTCAAAATATGATGAATTGGCTTTGAGAAGAAACAAATATTGTGTGTAGGTAGCATTTAGTTATGATTGCAACTATTATATGTGTCTATATGTAAATATAGTTATAAAAGAACAATAATGTCTTATCGATATAAGATTGTACAATAATGAACGAAATTGGAGTGAACTGGAAAAAACAGAACCGAAAAAATAATTATTATAACGTTTGGTGATACTAGAACAACACAACAAAATATTTAAATTACCAAATTGTCCTTAATTGTTTACTAGTTTTTTTTCACTAGAAATTGTTACTATTACTTTTTACTATACAGTAATTACTTTTGAGAAATTACATTGGATATTTAAACTTTCATCCAAAAACTATATGGATTGAAATTTGATACATACACATAATTTATATATTAAAAAAATAAAAAATTCTTTCATGTCTTCAAGGTGTGCCCAGTAACTCATCAGCTGCCGCCATTGTTTACTCCATCCATAAATGTTGCACCATTTCTATCCACAAGATTATCATACCTCTATTGTTGAGCACCATTGGAAAAAATAAACAAGCTTGATCAATTAGAAATGGAAAGCTGACGTCTAATATCAAACCTATGAAAAGTTTTTTTTTCTACAGTTCAAAATTTGTCCCTTCTAGCCCTTCATAATCGATTGAAATCACTTTTTTGTTTCGGTTCCAGTCATGCCAAACGTTTCCAAAAAGAATTTTGTATGTTCTCTTTTGTCATGTGATACGTACCAAATGCTACCTTAAAAATGATAAGTAAGTAGGGATTTACACTATGGAGAGGACAAAGGAGCATGGAGGAACTGATAAAGACTCAATAACTAATTTGGTGGGAGTAGATTTGAGAGAGAGAGAGAGAGAGAGAAAGTGGAAAAAGAAAAATATAATAGCAAGGGAAAAGGAAACTAATTTTGGATATGTAAGTGAAAGTACACTGCTATTACACTTGTACAACACCAACAATTAGCATTATAGTAGAATAGACATAACCAAAAAATAATTCGACACCAATAGATCGTCAATGAAAATTTGAAACTTGATATTTTTTGTCCAAGTAGTTCACTTCAAAGAATTCTCCAAAGTCAATCATATTTGAACCAACGGTAGCAATGATTATTTCTAATACTAAGAATACAATGAAAAAGCCAAATCCAACAGCACCAACCAAGTTGTGTAGCCTGTTTATGCATATGAATTATACTCTTAAAAGTGAATCATATGCAAGAATAGTGGGTCAAGCTTGAAGGAACCACTAGATCTAATATTAGTATAAGCAACCAGTAATAATAATAATAGGAGCATTCAAAAGACTTATACATATTAGCACCCAATAGGGAATTTGTATCATTCTTAATTTGTGAAACAACACCGCTGTACTAGCCTATGACTACAATTCAAAGTGTACATCAATTTTGGATAAATATAATGACGAGAACTTTTTCATCAGTGTGGATTGATCACCAAAAAGTGTCATTTATATGGTAAATATAAGTTCATACCCTGAGTACCAATTGACCACCAGATGTAATTAATTTGTTTGGATCAATGGATTCCAATTTGCAAATATGGAAATAGAAACCCAATAAAGCTTCAACTATAACCACAAAAATCACTAATAAGAAAATAAAATGGATTTGGGTCTAACCGATTTCGATTTAGGTATTCAAATCCAATTTTTTCCTTATTTTTTTTATTGAATGCGCCGTTGATGCCTTCCTCGATCTATGACAACAGAGGTGAGGTGGATCGGTGAAGGTTTACAGAAAGGCGAAGCTTTGTTTGAGCGGTGGTGGGGCATTGGACCGGTGGTGGTGCTACTCTCTTCAGTGTATTGTCGCTTCCCCTGTGCGTTGTTTCCTAAATCATGCCCATCTTGATTTGATTTTCCCATGTTCGTAGGTTTCTTCTCTCCTATATTTTTTAGGTTTTCAATCATCTCGAATTAGTCAATCAAGGGTAGTATATCGTGGGATTCAAGAGGGAAATAATAAGTAATATGGTAGGATTCAGGCAGGAAATAATAAGTAATCCCGCCTTTAGGATAAATAAAATTTTGAAATAAAATATAATTATATGTGTTTATAATAACACTATAAGAGTATATTTTTGTTATTTTCTATTAAATTCATTTCACTTAAAATCGTCCCAAAACTCATGTAGAAGGTCAATCGCAGAACACTACGAAATGATCAAACTTTCATTAATTAAAACTCTTACCCACTTACATATGTATATTCTTATTGACATGGATGTGGATGATTATATGGGGGTGTATGGGTGGGGTAGGGTAGGTGTCAACTTTGGTCTAGGCTTGATAGCATGGGCATGTATGTGTTGTCCATGTGTTAGGTGGGTGCAACGTATGTGGGTGGGTGGGGCAGGAGTGGGGAGGGGTATGTATAGGTATGGATGTTAGGGTGGGTGGGGATAATGGTGCGGTTAGGTGTAGAGGTAAGATTGTGATGGGTGTAGGGTGTAAGGATGGAGTGTAGTAGATGATGGGGTGAGTAAGCGTAAGAACATGAGCATAAAGGTGTGGGGTTAGGGTTAGGGTGTATGGTAGGTGGGTGGGTGCATGTAACACTCGACTTTTAACAAAGTACACCTAACATATCTTTGAGTTTATACTTAGGGCTTAATATATGAGGCTTAGGGATTAAGGCTTATGCACTAGGAGTTAGGGTTTAGGGATTAGGGCTTATGACTTATAATTTGTCTTAAGACTTATGTTTTAATACTTGAGGCTTATAGCTTATGACATATGATGTATGCCTAGGGAATAAGGCTTATGGCTTAGGAGTTAGGGATTATGATTTATGACATATGGTTAGCTTTAGGCTTAGGGATTATAGCATATAACTTATAACTTAGGGCTTATGGATTATGGCTTAAGGATTAGGGCCAATGTTTATAACATAGGGCTTTTGGCTTATTTCTTAATGTGTATGCCTTAGGCTTTAGATATTATATCATATGGCTGAAGGCTAATAGATTTATGGTTTATATCTTACGGCTTAATGCTTAGGGTTTTAGACTTATGGTGTAAGGCGTATGGCTTATGATTTAATGCTTAGGGCTTGTGGGTTATGATATTGACGTATGGCTTAATGCTTATGTCTTATGGCTGATGACATATGGCTTATATCTTATGGCTTAATCCTTAAGGGTTATAGCTTAGAGCTTAAAGCTCATTCCTACTAGCCTAGTCGAAGCCTACCCTACCGACGGGTATCCGTCTTTTTCAAAAAAAAAAAATATTAAATTTTTATATTTTGGTATTTTTTATTATTATTTTATTATTTTTTATTTAATATTTGTTTTAGAAATAGGGAAAAAGAACTTATAGTCATATACTGATTACCTCTGATTCGTTTTTAGGGTTCTTTTTATTTTCATTCTTAAAAAAAATGCTGTCTCTTCTCGTCACTCTCACCCCTCCTCTCTCAAACCAGTCATCCTTCGGTTAATCGCATCTTCAATCGCTTCAGTCATCTTTCTGTTTAATCGAAGCTTCTCCCTAGAGATAGATCCGATTCCAAAGCACATAGTAAACGGCTGCAGCCTGTACAGTGTACATCGATCAATGGCCGTTGGCAGTAATACTTATTCGTCGGATGAAATTGTAGTGAAGTCGTCGAACGATAGTCGGTTATACAGATACATACAGCTGCCGAACGACCTTTAGCTTTGCTTACGCATGATCCTGATATTTATATGGGCGGGCCACCGGAAAGTACCAGGCCTGATGAAATCGGCGATAATGATGCCGATGAGGAAGATGACGAAAATGATGAGGATGAAAACAGAGAAGAAGAAGATAGGAGAAGACGACGATGATGATGATGATGGGAATGAAGGAAAAAAATCTGTTATGAGCAATGCCCCTCAGATTTTACAAAGTTGTAGCTTTTTCTTTCTGGATTTCTTTTGTAGGTTTTATCATTTTACTTATAAATATTTAGGATCATTTAGCATATAATGAGGAAAGTTAAAGATTAACTAATGACCTTGGAGCTATTTATGATTGAATCTGATTACATTTATAGACTGAAATTGTTATTATTTTGCAGGCGGCAACAGCAATGTGCTCAGGGATGGGTAGCTTTTGTGATCCTTGAGAGGTACAGGGTCTTGCACATTTTCTTGGTTTGTTTCTCTTCCCTTATGACTGTATCTCATTTAATACTCCATCTTCTATAAATCTGGAAAGACATGCATATTTATAGGCTCAGATTGTAATTACCAAACATCTATTGCTTTCTTAATTATATATTTTTGGGTTCATGATATCTAAGCACTAAGCAATTGATATTTGGTGGTGGAAGCTTCATTATGAAGCACTAAATGAGAGTTTACCAGAACTTCTGTTTAATGCATATTATCATATCCATCGACAATGTTGCAAAAAATAAGAATGATACTTAGTGGTTTCTTCTGTTTAATGGTTCAATGGTACTTATTACTTGATTTATTGTAGAAGACATGCATTTCATGGGGAGTGCAAAATTTCCAGATTAAAATGAGGTTTTTTTCCTGCTATTTACTATTTCATTGGTACATTATTTATTGCAGAACACATGCTTTTGGGGTCCTGTCCAACATCTACCCCTTTTTAACATAAAGAGTTCATTTAGGTTGCAAATTATACGGTCCGTGGCTTCTTACAGATGTAATGTTGGGGTTTACAGCATCCATCGCCAATCGGAAACCTAGAAGTCAAATTTCACCCTCTTCTTTTCATATTCCTTACAGTACCTGATCAAGGTTTGGTTTCATGCATCATTCTTGGTTATCATTTGCTTTTTTTTTCCTTTTTTTTTATGGATTAGTCAATGTTGGGTTTTAGGTTTATCATTACCCAACCGATGAATTTGGTGCTTTTTTATCAAGCTCTTGATTTTGTTGTATACTTCTGCTGCTTCAGCTTGATTGAAATGGAAATGGATTGTTGATTTATGGATTTACGGTTATGTGTTCATATGATTAGTTTCCAAAGTTATGTGGTGGAAATGGAAATGTTAATTTATTAATTTTTGAATTTACTATTGATTTACTATTTGTATTTTGGTGGAAATATAATTGTTAATATATTGATTTACTATTGGCTTTCACTGTTCACCATCTTATTTGCATAGGTGGATTTTATTGCTTACTTTTGTGTATAGTTGTTAGTGTATGTGTATCTTGGAGGCTTCATAACTAACTTGATGTTATGTTATGTCATGCTGAAGGCGCCATTTACCTGGCAAAGAAAAACAAAGAGAATATGTCTCCAAGGTAAAGAGACACATATGACCTTTGTCATTCCATTGCCAAAATACCTTGTGCAAACCGAGTCAAAGGTTTGTTTAATTATGTTCTACTTTGTGCATTACACTTTATTTTCTTCATAAAGTAGTATACTAAGTTTATGATGAACTCATTTTTTTGGTTTTAATGTTGTTGTTATAGGTACCAGAAATTATATCACATCAAAACTCAACGAAAAGGAAACCAACTTACATATCATCTGATGCCCTTCTCAAGAAGACAAGGAGCAATACAAATAAGATGAATGTCTAGTTATGTTTAGGTTTTGGTTTATGATGTGTTTGATTTTTTTTACCATTATTTAAATTCTTAAAATTAGGACAATTTTTTTTTGCTATTTTAATTAGGAATTTAATGTATGGATTTGGATTTCAATTATTACTAATATAAAATTATGAATTTTGCTTTTGTTTCATATTGTTGGGATTCATTACTTTAATTTAAATAATTTTGATGTGTCTACAATGTAGAAAAAGAAATAATAAATAGTAAATTAAAGTGGCTTTAATATAAATTTGGCCATGTTTTATAGGTTTTCAATGTCTCTAAAAATATAAAATGGTTACTTTACATCATTTTTTAACGTGTGGCTAAATGGTTAACAATAGCTATAATATACAAAAATTATGAGACTACAATTGTTTTAAAATGATGTTTATTCTAAAGATTTTGTGACTAGGTTAAACAATAACAACATGAAAAACAATTTAAATGGCAAATAAATACCATAGTTGATTGTTGTTGAGACTAAATACTAGCAAATCGTCACTTACATCATTAATTATATGTGTCCATTTACCGAACATGGACATGTTCACCGTAATTATATGTGTCTAAAATATACCCAATAGTCCTTAATTTTAACAAAATGTGTGTCTTTATAATACTTATGATTGTATTTCACTTAATTGTGTATCTTTATACGATAGGCTATAGTCACAAAATTTAATTGTTTTTTGTGACTAATAATTAGCAATTCCCCACTTATGGAATTAATTACATGTGGTCATTTAGCAAACATGGTCATGCTCACCGTAATTACATGTTTACAAAAGATACACAATAGTTTTAATAATATTTAAACTGTGTGACAATAGAAAAGAAAACAACTACACTAAAAGATTATGAATGTCGCAAGTTGGTGATATACAATCACAACATTTACTAAATAAATGTGTCTACTGACGGTTTAACGCTACAATATTGGATATTTAAGGAACAAAATTCCGTACACATTTGCCACACTTTTATAATACGGCAACATGTTTTCATATCATTCGGACACTACATTTTAAAGTGACCATAAGACCCATATGATGGCATCACCTTCCGTCACACTTTCAGTGAAAAAATAAAATGTCACTATATGCATATGGTCACACTTTTTTAGTGTGACTGTAAGTCACTTTCCTTCTAGTGACACACACACACACACACACACACACACACACATATATATATATATATATATATATATATATATATATATATATATATATATATTCATAACTCCAAAATATTCCCCATAATAATAAACAATTTATTAATAATACAATATGTTCCACAAATTGTACAACATGTATCAACAACATTAGGTTTAAAGATTAACTAATGACCTTGGAGCTATTTATGATTGAATCTGATTACATTTATAGACTGAAATTGTTATTATTTTGCAGGCGGCAACAGCAATGTGCTCAGGGATGGGTAGCTTTTGTGATCCTTGAGAGGTACAGGGTCTTGCACATTTTCTTGGTTTGTTTCTCTTCCCTTATGACTGTATCTCATTTAATACTCCATCTTCTATAAATCTGGAAAGACATGCATATTTATAGGCTCAGATTGTAATTACCAAACATCTATTGCTTTCTTAATTATATATTTTTGGGTTCATGATATCTAAGCACTAAGCAATTGATATTTGGTGGTGGAAGCTTCATTATGAAGCACTAAATGAGAGTTTACCAGAACTTCTGTTTAATGCATATTATCATATCCATCGACAATGTTGCAAAAAATAAGAATGATACTTAGTGGTTTCTTCTGTTTAATGGTTCAATGGTACTTATTACTTGATTTATTGTAGAAGACATGCATTTCATGGGGAGTGCAAAATTTCCAGATTAAAATGAGGTTTTTTTCCTGCTATTTACTATTTCATTGGTACATTATTTATTGCAGAACACATGCTTTTGGGGTCCTGTCCAACATCTACCCCTTTTTAACATAAAGAGTTCATTTAGGTTGCAAATTATACGGTCCGTGGCTTCTTACAGATGTAATGTTGGGGTTTACAGCATCCATCGCCAATCGGAAACCTAGAAGTCAAATTTCACCCTCTTCTTTTCATATTCCTTACAGTACCTGATCAAGGTTTGGTTTCATGCATCATTCTTGGTTATCATTTGCTTTTTTTTCCTTTTTTTTTATGGATTAGTCAATGTTGGGTTTTAGGTTTATCATTACCCAACCGATGAATTTGGTGCTTTTTTATCAAGCTCTTGATTTTGTTGTATACTTCTGCTGCTTCAGCTTGATTGAAATGGAAATGGATTGTTGATTTATGGATTTACGGTTATGTGTTCATATGATTAGTTTCCAAAGTTATGTGGTGGAAATGGAAATGTTAATTTATTAATTTTTGAATTTACTATTGATTTACTATTTGTATTTTGGTGGAAATATAATTGTTAATATATTGATTTACTATTGGCTTTCACTGTTCACCATCTTATTTGCATAGGTGGATTTTATTGCTTACTTTTGTGTATAGTTGTTAGTGTATGTGTATCTTGGAGGCTTCATAACTAACTTGATGTTATGTTATGTCATGCTGAAGGCGCCATTTACCTGGCAAAGAAAAACAAAGAGAATATGTCTCCAAGGTAAAGAGACACATATGACCTTTGTCATTCCATTGCCAAAATACCTTGTGCAAACCGAGTCAAAGGTTTGTTTAATTATGTTCTACTTTGTGCATTACACTTTATTTTCTTCATAAAGTAGTATACTAAGTTTATGATGAACTCATTTTTTTGGTTTTAATGTTGTTGTTATAGGTACCAGAAATTATATCACATCAAAACTCAACGAAAAGGAAACCAACTTACATATCATCTGATGCCCTTCTCAAGAAGACAAGGAGCAATACAAATAAGATGAATGTCTAGTTATGTTTAGGTTTTGGTTTATGATGTGTTTGATTTTTTTTACCATTATTTAAATTCTTAAAATTAGGACAATTTTTTTTTGCTATTTTAATTAGGAATTTAATGTATGGATTTGGATTTCAATTATTACTAATATAAAATTATGAATTTTGCTTTTGTTTCATATTGTTGGGATTCATTACTTTAATTTAAATAATTTTGATGTGTCTACAATGTAGAAAAAGAAATAATAAATAGTAAATTAAAGTGGCTTTAATATAAATTTGGCCATGTTTTATAGGTTTTCAATGTCTCTAAAAATATAAAATGGTTACTTTACATCATTTTTTAACGTGTGGCTAAATGGTTAACAATAGCTATAATATACAAAAATTATGAGACTACAATTGTTTTAAAATGATGTTTATTCTAAAGATTTTGTGACTAGGTTAAACAATAACAACATGAAAAACAATTTAAATGGCAAATAAATACCATAGTTGATTGTTGTTGAGACTAAATACTAGCAAATCGTCACTTACATCATTAATTATATGTGTCCATTTACCGAACATGGACATGTTCACCGTAATTATATGTGTCTAAAATATACCCAATAGTCCTTAATTTTAACAAAATGTGTGTCTTTATAATACTTATGATTGTATTTCACTTAATTGTGTATCTTTATACGATAGGCTATAGTCACAAAATTTAATTGTTTTTTGTGACTAATAATTAGCAATTCCCCACTTATGGAATTAATTACATGTGGTCATTTAGCAAACATGGTCATGCTCACCGTAATTACATGTTTACAAAAGATACACAATAGTTTTAATAATATTTAAACTGTGTGACAATAGAAAAGAAAACAACTACACTAAAAGATTATGAATGTCGCAAGTTGGTGATATACAATCACAACATTTACTAAATAAATGTGTCTACTGACGGTTTAACGCTACAATATTGGATATTTAAGGAACAAAATTCCGTACACATTTGCCACACTTTTATAATACGGCAACATGTTTTCATATCATTCGGACACTACATTTTAAAGTGACCATAAGACCCATATGATGGCATCACCTTCCGTCACACTTTCAGTGAAAAAATAAAATGTCACTATATGCATATGGTCACACTTTTTTAGTGTGACTGTAAGTCACTTTCCTTCTAGTGACACACACACACACACACACACACACACACACACATATATATATATATATATATATATATATATATATATATATATATATTCATAACTCCAAAATATTCCCCATAATAATAAACAATTTATTAATAATACAATATGTTCCACAAATTGTACAACATGTATCAACAACATTAGGTTTTAGAGTAAAGTTTCAACTTGCCACTTTATCAACATCTATTCAACAAATAACAAGTTTCTCAAGACATGTCACAAACTACTATAAGCTAAACTTTATGACCAATTGTCACCAAACTAATCAAACTTTACAATACAACTGCTTACTAACTTAATCCCGTAAGCTACTAACTAAATCTCTCAATTCTAACAATTCCACATGTTAGAGTTTATAGCCCATATCAACCGGTTTGTGGAATTCACTGTAAGATTTACAACAAAGTTCATAATAAAACCATATTATGACTTCTAACAACTAACTCGGGTTCCAACAACCGTTCATAATTATGCTATAAGACACGATAACATAATAATAGAAGAAGAGAATACATCAGCTCGGTCGACAACTCATACCCTCACGTTCTAGCACCGACTCTACGATCATCATCCCGAGAACTAACTCACTCTAGCTCTGTTTTGATTTCAATGTGTTCAAAACCCTCCAAATGAATACAAGACTCTGTTTATATACAACAAGATTCTGAGGAATCACTTCACGACTTACACCACACGTCTCAGCCATCTGCCACATGTCTTGACTTCTCAGCACATGTCCAACACCAGACACTTTGTCGCGTCACAACCAATATCAACCTTGCGTCACAACCAATATCACCCCCTCGCCGCGACCTTTGACTATTGACCAAGACTTGACCCGTCTTTGATCGTCTTGTCGTGCATATATATAGTCGTGTCGCGTCTTTCGAGAAATGGAAATCTACTTTATAACTTGTCATATTCTCCTTCTATTTTACAACTAAACGCCCATACACCTTCAATAAACAACTTAAAGCAACTTTGTGCTTTATTTCTCCTACTTGTTCCATAAACAAGTTATACTCCTTAAAATAATACATGTTACAAAAAATGGGTATTACAATGATGTTCCCGGTTTCATCAAGCGAATCAAGAACCTTAAAAACTAACAAATAGTTAGTTTTCTCAATGTTAAACAAATAGTTAGTTGTCTCAATGTTGGAACTTTCTCATGCCATTTACTAAATAGTTGAATATGTTGAAGGTATGGGTTAGTGGTTCATTCCTATAAGCAAAAAAAATGATGTGTTTGTCGGTTTATTCATTTGGAAGCTCAAGTGTGAGCATGTTAGTTGTTACCTCCATAGATGATTCTACGGGGAAGATATGAGTTTTTTTCTCAAAATAAATCAGAAGTTTTTAACACTTTCAAAAAATGGAGAGTTGCCGTTGAAAATGAAACGAATTTGAAAATTAAGTGTTCAAAGTCGGGTAAGGGATGTGAATACAAAAGCGTAGAATTTGTTGATTGTTGTGCTGAAAATGGAATCAAAATGCCCTTTATAAAAATGATTTTGCAACAGCCTATAATAGAAACAAGAAACCAGATTGTAAAGATCAAGGACGTGTATGATGAGATTTCATAAGAAGACGCTACACGAAGAAAATGCAATCAAGAAAAGTACAATGTTGTTTCTAGATTTAATATTATCCACATAGATAGACCAGATCACAAAGTTGTTAACTAAAAATCCCAAAAAAATAATGTAGCCAAAAAAGAACAATTTATGTTTGCATTTTCAGAGGTTGAGGTTTTAACTATTGTGACTTGTGACTTGTGACTTCATGACTCCTGAGTTACCTGTTTCCAAAAATACAAAAGTTAAAATTACAAAATCGAGAAATTAAACATCCTCCTACTATTTCTTCCTACAAATCCTCCTACCCAATTAATTAGTGACATGTGTATCATTTAATGTTCATTTAATGATTTTTTTAATATACCAATATACACATGTCATCATTTAATTGGGTAGGAAGATTTGTAGGAACAAAAGTAGAAGGATATTTAATTTCTCTTACAAATCAGATCATACATGTTGCACACATTAGCAGATTAACAAAATGCATTTACATGTTTACATTTTAAGTCATTAACACGTAAGACCATTGGTTATTAGAAAGAGGTTGAAAAAAAAAAAAAATTACATGAAGGTAATGGATCAAGTGTAAATATTTCCAACAATGGTGTGTGTGCGTGTGTCTATATATATATATATATATATATATATATATATATATATATATATATATATATATATATCCGGTAAGAAGGAAATTTTTGGTAAGAAGGTTTTTTTTCTATATATTTTTTTGACGAACAAAATAAATGAATCACTAGATGATTCATTTGTAAGATGATTCACAAGAAAAAATTCCCAAAAAAACATCTTTATGATTCATTTTTAAGTAAATTAAGAAAAAATTCACTTTTATGACAATTTTAGTGAATAACAACAAAATCATTGTATAAATGAATCATCGATATGTTTTTTTGAGAATTTTTTCTTGTGAATCATCTTACAAATGAATCATCTAATGATTCATTTTGTTTGTTCGCGAAAAAAATATGTAGAAAAAAAACTTCTTACCTTCCTACCAAAAATTTCCTTCTTATTTGATCTTGACTCTATATATATATATATATATATATATATATATATATATATATATATATATATATATATATATATACTATTAAACATTGTATCACTATCACACCAAAAAATGCAGGGCGGGAAAATATGACTTGCAGAGCAGGAAGGGTATATAAATGAAAACCTGAGAACATATGATTTGTGTTATTTAATGGGCCAGTCCTCATAGAAGATGTACGCATTTGGAAACGATTTTTGTTTTATTGTTATATTTAGAATCAGCAAAAATTGAAAGCAATTATTTAATTCTTACCTTTGCTTTACACGATACCACACCATCATAATTGAAGCAGCAATGATCACCCCGGCAATGGTTTGTGGCAACACAGAACTTTTCTTCTTCTTCTTCATCTTGTGGTAAAGATGAAAAGGTGGATTTTTAATGAAACCTAGTTCAGAGAGCTTCTTGTGTGCTTGCGCATACTCCTTCAAGAACAACTCTGGAATCTACATTTTAAATATTTGGTATAAACACAATAATAATAATAATAATAATAATAATAATAATAATAATAATAATAGTAAGATGCACGTATTATAAAGTACATAATTGTGAGTACGTTGCTAGTATGGGTAAAAAAAACAAAGTTAATTGTCCACGCTAAAATACCTTGTTTTCCAGCATACTTTAAAATGGTTTGGTAAGAAAATGTTGAAAAGTAGAATGATGTAATAGGAAGAAATGAAAGGAAGAAGAAATAATAAACCAAATAAATGAAAATGTGTTGCCATTTCTTGCAATTAGAATTGGTGATATATATATATATATATATATATATATATATATATATATATATATATATATATATATATATATATATATATATATATATATATATATATATATATATATATTGGTCTATACCTCAGCATACTTCATAACATCACAGCGGAACTCAGCAAAAGTCATCATTGTCCGGTCTGAAGGAATGAGTGAAGTCCCATCGTGCTCTCCTATCAGTAGGTTTAAAAACTCTCTTCTCACCAGCGCCTCTGGCTCACGCCTAACCAGCTCTTCCCTGTACTCTCTCAGCAGGTTGCTGGTTTCAAAAAAAATTCATGTTATATTATTTATTTATTCCAAAAGACACATATACAGGCTTTCCAAATACTTGGTGTTATCGAATATTGAGAAAATAGGTGAAATGCAAGAATTAGAAAATGTAGCATTCTACTTTCATTTCTTTTTTCTATTTAGCAATGGATGCTATAATATAAGTACATGAATAAATGAAAGTAATTTGCCATTTCTTTCAATTAGCACATAGAAAAACTATAATTCGTCATGTTTAAAAAATATCAACAAAACTTACATAAAGTATGAGTTATCAAACTTGAGTGGCTTGTCAGTCCAAGGGCCATCGAAGTTTGATCTATTTTTTTGGGTTCTATCCTGATGATAGCAAGAAACAAACAAAAACTGTGGTAGATAATGATTACGATAAGTGACAAAAATGTAAAATGTTTCATATGATGAGTTGAACAACATGTTAGGTGTTCCTTCAAGCAAAACAAAAACTTTGGAAGATAATAGGTCGTAATCAACATACTTTAAAAAAACATTATTATAGCATCGTACTTTTACTTTATTTTTTCATATTACATGATTGTACTTTAAAAAATGGCTAATCTATTCAAGAGAATTACTTATTTACAAAACACCATCTCAATTGATCCTATTTCATTGGAGTCGGGTTGTATATGGTTCCCGGGGATGAATTTTTTTTAGGGCATTATACTTTGAAAACAGGGATTATTCTTCAAACTATAACGCCCTAATACGAAACCGTTTGAAAATACAATATTGTAATAAGAAAAAATTTAAAGTGTGATGTTACGATATAAAAAATTGAAAATAAATTGTTATTTCCTGTATGTAGCCCATAACCAAACAAGTAAGATGCAAATTACCATAACATGGGCTCCCGAGAGAGCTACAAAGTCCATGATGCATAAACCCATGCGCTTAAACGTGTCCATCAGATGTATTGGGCCTTCAACAAGTTTAAGAATTTCAGCAACCGAACAAAACAAATGTCAAATATAACTATATCGTTGAGTGATCCAAGAGTAAAAAATGTGTTAGTTATCCATTTATGTAAGGGCCACATGAAAGAAATAACAACATATATAGTTTCAATTATTAGTTTATTAAAGCATCGTACTTTCACTTATTTCTATTAGACTATTATCATTGAATTTTCGATTGTTGTTCTTATTAAGGCATTGTACCTTGAAAAATCTACCGAGTGTTGTACATTAATTTCTTTTTCTTATTAAGATATTGTACATTTGAGAATCCTGCCTACTATAACAGTGAGAATTGCTTTGTATTTGGTTGATATTGCTATATTTTGAGAAATTTATCAAAGTAGAATGCTATTATAGGAATATATGAAAGTAGAATGCTATAATGAATTTATCAATTAAGGTTTGTTGCTATTTGTCGCATATAACCCTTATTTTGGTCATGAAAATGAAGCCTTTTCTGCTAATCCAAAAATTATATGCTTCCTAAACAACAATATTGATACGATTCAGAAATTTATTATATTCATTAATGAGTAATTTAAATAGTATGTCACACAGGTTAAATAAATATGAATCCAGCAACAAACAACCGAAATCTTTAAGTGAGATGAACAATGAGTGTACACAACTAGGATTCAAAACCTTTTTCAAGATCGGGGAGTCTGCCTTCCTCGGTGCATTCATTTGAATCCTAAATGAAACACAAAAAATATAAAGGAGAAGTAAATATATGGCATAAATTAGTTCTTCATGATATTTCTACTTTATATATATATATATATATATATATATATATATATATATATATATGTGTGTGTGTGTGTGTGTGTTTTGTGTGTGTGTAGGATCATATGAGAATGATAAGTATTAATGTAAGAACAATTATGAATCGTTGGATTGAAAAAATCAATGCACCTGATTGATTCTTGAATATTTAAACCTTCCTAAAGTAAAGTGATTTAGAAAATCAATAGGTATTTGGGATTTCTTATTTAACTTAGTACTTACTTTCTTGTAAAAGTGTTTATTAGCTTATATGGTAGCAAAAAGGAGTTTCTAAAAAAAATGGTTGGTTTAGCCTATGTAGTGGCAAAATATTATAAATAGAGAAGACCTTTTTAGAAAAAGTGTTTGGTTGAGCTTATATATGTAAAATGACCAAAAAAGATATGCTCATATTTAGACCAATTTAATATTTGGAAGAGAAAGGAGGTTGGAAGATTTTTATAAAGGGTTAGGCTAATTTAATGGGTTATTATAGTCTTTGTATCTTAATAAGTTATAAATTGTTTTAAAAAAATTAGAATTGTAAAGCTCCATTTTAGAACTAATAAAAAGTTGTTTTCAAAAGCATTATATATATATAAAGAGAGAGAGGGGTTCCATTGAGATTAAAAAAAAAATAGAGATCTTGAGATTGAGCCTCAATCACATATTTCTCATTTGTCGTTCTAACCCTCCGGCGTACCGGTACGGCCGGAGAGTTATAATCATAAATGATTATGCAGCGCCGCCCGTGATATATATTGAATGGTATAAAGTTTTACTAAAAAGGAAATTGCTTACAGATGGATAAGGCATAAGAAGAAAAAAAAAAAAAAAAAAAAAGTTTATATCAACTACGTAGTAAATCAATGCACCTTTCTACCAGGAATAAAGTCAATAGTAGGGACCACCGGTGATTTCAACAGCAACCACGCCTGCAAGCTGCCAATAGACCATTCATTGGGTAAGTACTTATTTAACCTGCACATGAACCAAAAATCTTTAGTTTGTGTGCTAAAAAGGTAAGTAGACAACAAAAAGAAAACATTGATTCTAATATATCACTTGCTCAAAAAGCAGCATATTACAAACAACCATATGGAAGTATATCTCACCTTGCTCAAGACCAACAGATTACTCTAATCTATTAAAAAGAACTTATATCCATCAGTATGATTGAAATCACCTGAAATATGTCTGCATATGAGATCTTTGGATGCTTTGACTTTATTTCTTCTGTAATCGAGCAGAAAACTGCCATTAATAAACTGAACTATTTTCTATTATATTATCTTTGTAAAAGAAGTTAACCATGGAAATAAGAACGGTGTCAAAAAACATAACAATATAGAATACGACCAAAGTAAGTTACGTATTGTAAACCGTTTGATTTAAGCTAGATAAGGAAATAAGATAGTGTGATAAACTAACTAACTGTTCTGACATTTTGCTATCAAAAAGCCAACTAGTTTGGCGTACTAGACTGTATATCGAGTAATTAAGAACCAGGTGACATGAGTAATTAACTGAAATAAATTCAGCATCTGGAAGCCTTATAGACTATGATTACTGAATATAGATCTCATTAACAGGAACAGAAATAAAAAAAAGTCATTAAGCTTCACGTAGTAGAATTTGGTCCATGATTTAATAATGGTTGTGATATGTGTGGCTAGTAGACAAAATGCCACCAGGAACTTCTTTCCTAATAATGCCACCAGGAACTTTCGCCCTGATAATGTTCTTGGTGAAGAAGGATTTGATTGTGTTTTCAAAGGTCGGATTGATGAATTCACTCTTACTGCTTCACAATCCGGATCTGGAATGATAATTGTTGTCAAAAAGCAAAAGCCTGAGAGGGTTTTTATGGGCTTTTCTTCTTGTTTTCTTGATTCCCATTTCTTGAAGTTTATGGTTTGGTTTTCTTTAGATATGAATTATATATCTTGGCAGGTACGCCATCCAAATTTGGTTAAACTTGTTGGGTACTTTTCAGAGGGTGATAATAGGCTCTCGGTTTATGAGTTCGATGCATAAAGGAAGCTTGGAGAATCATCTTTTTAGACGTATGTTTTACCATTTTGATTAAGTTTTGCAATTCTTTTTGTACTTAGTAGGACAAATAATCACACATTTTTTTTTTGTATTTATAGCGCATATGCGGGTATGAGATCTTGGATTTGCTACTATTTTCTATTTGGTCCAGTATTTGAAATAAGGGTGTGAACATCTAGAAACCGAGACCCATGTCAATGTGAACAAGGTGGAACACGACTGTGTTTGGCATGCATTGGAACGGATCACAGTAGAAACCAATGTCAATGTGACAAAAGTTATAGTTTTTGTCTCGACCAAAAAAAGTTGGATAAGATGAGACAAGAAGTAGTGAAAAAGATGATAATGTCTTCCTCATCTTTATAATTGTAAATAGCCCTAAAAAGTTTGTCTGCTTTAATAAATATCATTATATGGATCTAAAAACGCAATTACATAGGCCTCATCCCTAGTAAATATCAAACAAGACCGCTCGTTAATCAAACACAAAATTCAACAACATAATATAAGCACTCTACTGTAAAGGCATCACAACTTTAGTGTAGTAAACAACTAGTAACATAACAAGAGTATATAAAACGAAAAATTTGTGCCAAAAAAATTCAAAGGAAAATAAATAAGTACCGCAAAAATCAATCGCAACTTTTAATCCTTTATTACAGCTTTGTTCAAACTCTTCAGGCTTCCTGATGGAGCCATTTGGACCTCCAGTCCCCGTATGTTTGCAATAAGTTCCAGCATCATGAAATCTACGTACAATACAATCATCAATTTCAATTCGATCATCAATATATGTTATACATATGTGCGATGAACAAGAAGGATCTTACGCTAAACGAAGCATGATTGGAGCGCAAGTTTTGTTGAAGATCAAAGCGCGTAGGTCTCGGCGAGCTTTCTCTATTTCTTCCCGGTACTCGGCGTCAACAACAGGCCTTCCCATCGAACTGAAACACCGGTTTCTTTTTCCAAAAAAATCAGCATATCTTTCCATTGAAACGATAACCGTAGCTTCTAATTCAGAGCCCTAAACACATTCCAATGAAATAACCATTAGTTCTAAACTATATCAGTTGTGAATTTCGGTAATTAGCCTGAAGACATCAGAATTTCTCCATATACTATACACGGTTTGAGTAGAAACCTTAACTTCAAAACTCATGAAATCATGAATTTAAGGAACCATACCTCTAATTTGAACGCCTCAATTTAATCTGTGTAGTCAACCCATCAAAGAATTCTGGATCAAAATCTGCAAAATGATTCCTTTCTCCATCATTGAATTCAGGTTCTGGTTTTTAGGGCGAGAACATCGAAGGACCATGCTCCCATTTTTATTGATTTGTAGCTTTGATTACTTTTTGACGAGATCTCTGAGCTTTCGTGATAGAAAATAAAAGGTTTCTATCGTTTTAATAAAGAGTCATCCTGGCCGACTTTAACGGATCAACGCAACAACCCTGTACGGTTTGTGTGGCCTTCTCCCGCCCAAAACAGCCTTGAGCGCTTTATTTCCACAATTCCCTACTTCACTCCTCAAGGCTAAACACTATTTCTTTATTAAAGTGGATCGACAAGGTTAAGCTTAATGTCGTCCAAATAATTTTTTTTACGCATGCATTATCACAGCTTCTTGGATCATTTGGTGTTTGGCCAGGGCCGGTCCAAGCCGATTTGAGGCCCGGGGCGAAATAAGAAAAATGAGGCCCTTCAAATCAAATAGAAGAAGATTTTAATAAGAGTGACAATATCTCCAGAATTTTTATCAACTAAATAACACAAAAAAGAACACATTTAACTATGTTTTCGTTTAAAGACAAAATGTATTAGAAAATAAACAAAAATCAGCCGGAATCTGGACCAGTACAAGAGTTTGGGATGAAAATAAAGATTACATAAGTGGGAAACTAATAACACAAGGTTAACAACATCACGAAGATAAATCTTGAAGGGGCTACCCTAAGGGTAAAATTGTCCAAAACGGAACTAAGAGGAAAAGGCCAACCTTGTGCTCTGCCCTAGAGCATTTTAAATTGTATCCAAGCCTTTTTAATTGATTTTTATTAAAAAAATTTAATAAATAAAACTTATGTACTGACTTTTTGGCATTGTATATGTCATTTCATTAATATGAACTTATTCTGTTTTGAAAAAAAAATAAATAAATAGCATTCCCAAACACAGCAGGAAGTAAAGGTCATCAATGGCTGCAGAGAACAAATAATTTTTTTTCCTTCAACGACATCATCACATAAAAGTTAACTGTAGAAAACAAACCTAAAACCTAAGGGTAAAAGTGAATTAAAATATATGTTATCTCTCAGTAATACAAGTAGTAACATATATACTAATTAAGCTTATAAAACTTATATGAAAAATAGAGCTAATCGATAAACTTAACCCTAGTCAGATTGCACCTTGAAAATTAAAAGAAAAAAATTGAATAATGATTTTACATCTAGAAGGATACTGGATACATGACCAGCTTATGAATGATAATTGACTAGTGAAGATCTTATGGTAAAAGATGGACCCAGCTTGCCCATGCTCTAGGGTCGGCCCTGTGTTTGCTACATAGCCTTATGTTTGGAGCTCTCAAAATGCCAAAATTTGAGTTGTTTGACAAAATTGTCATCCAAGCCGGGTTATAATTGTAAGCTTAATTGGGTTGGTTACTTACACAACCGTTCTTGTTGCTAGGGTCGTTTTAATTATAATATAATATATTCCGGACTATCTCTTGGGGTTTTAGCACCCACTTGTACCTTTTTAATTTGTACCTAAAATACAACATTAGGCCTTATGGTATACTCATAACGAGCATGTTTGTGGTCTATGTGGCCACGAACAAAAAATGTGAACACCACCCCATACCCTTAGTGGTGGCTAGTGGTGGAAAAATTCGTGGTCAAATGTGGTGGGGAGAACGGACAACAACATCCAATAAATTTTTTTCTCTCTCCATGTCTCTCTATCTCTCTCTACCTCTCTCTACATTTTAATTAATTAAAAAATATATATTTTTTAATTTAAAAATAAAAAAATAAGAAAAATATAGTGGTGGGTATCCCATAAGTTTAGTGGTTGAATGTGGTGATGAGGTGGCACCCACCACTATAGTGGTTAGTGGTGGGTATAACGGATGGTCTCATATAGAAGCACATTCTCATAACTTAATATTCTTAGCGGGATTAAGAATATTATTGTTTATCACACATAGACGATAATAACCAATGAAGTCAAAGTAAAAACTACATAGTATAACTACATAGCTAGGTAATATGTAATAAGCCAAATTGCATGGTAGAAAATCTAGATAATGAGTAATAAATGGCATACCTTGTACCAAACGTAGATGATAACTCACGTTAAGAACTCTCAAACTCTAAAAGGTAGTTGTGCCATTGCTAGTGCTATACAATTTACACAAAACAGCCCCAAGCCCATTGTGAGATGTTTATTTATAGACAAAACTTCAAAAATGGTCCCTGTGGTTTTTGAAAATATCAAGTTTAATCCCTAAGTTCAAAAAACCTCACAGATGGTCCCTGTGGTTTCAAAACTTTTAACATTTGGCCCTTCCGGCTCACTCCGTTACCATTTAGCCGTTAAGTAAGGGGTATTTTTGTCATTTCACTATCCAGGGACCATTTATGAGGTTTTGTATTACTTTTTCTAAAATAAATAAATAAATAAATAAAATTTAATATGCAAGGTCCCACCTCTCTTGGGCATATTACCCACCTCTCTCCGTTACCATTTACACCGTCATCATCTTCTTCAAAAATCCAAACCCAGATCACCCATTACCCATTAGCTCCTCACCATCGTCCCTCCTTCCACCCCATCTCCCATTTCTCTCTATCTATCTCATACTTCTGCATTCACAGTAGATCCGGTCACAGATTTACTGATCCGGCCGCACAACCCTAGCCGAACCCAACACCAAAATACTACACCATGACCACTAGCTCTCATGAACTTCTTCCACAGAAGAACAACAATAGCAATAGTGAGTTCCATTGTTTCCCATGTGAACCGACGGTCATCCCGCCAATTTCTGAGTTGTTGATTGGTGGTGATGGTTTTGCTATTGGAGTACCACCGCCGATACTGGAGGAGGAGCAACTGTCGATGGTGGCAGCGCATTCATCAGAGCAAAAGAGAGTTAAGGGCTAGATTTTAACTTCCCCCACGTTCTTCTCCCATATCAATTTCTACTGCTTGACCTGATATCGTTTCTATGAATGGAAGAGAGTGGGGGTGAGGGTTTTTCATTTTATCTATTCAATTTTGATCTTATTTTCTGAATTGCAGGTATGTTAGAGCTGCTCGATTCTGTGGATTCAGAAAAAGGAGAAGATAAAGGGAAACCCATCAGCGAAGTACATCTTCGACTTGTAGCAATATTTCCTTCTGGGTTTACCGGTAACTGTCCCTGAGGATGAAGATGATTTAGTATGTATATGTGTGTTTTTGTTTGCTTCTCACAGGGTTTTCTTTTCTACATAGCAACCATCGATTTTTAGGAATCAGTCGATTCTCACAGGAAATCAGTTCATGAAAGAAGAAAGCTCAAACGATGGAAAATATTGAATCGATTCATGGCAGCTAAATGGATTCTACATATCGGCGATGTGAGAGAGAGAGTGAGAGAGAGAGAGGTAGGACCTTGAATATTAACTTTTTATTTATTTATTTATATATTTTAAAAAAAGTAATACAAAACCTCAAAAATGGTCCCTGTAATAGTGAAAAGACAGAAATGTCCTTCACTTAACGGTCAAAAGCTAACGGAGTTAGCGAAAAGGACCATTTGTTAAAAGTTTTGAAACCACAGGGACCATCTGTGAGGTTTTTTTGAACTTAGGGACTAAACTTGATATTTTCGGAAACCACAGGGACCATTTTTGAAGTTTTGTCTTATTTATATTTAGTAGGTGAAAATATTGTTTTGTAGTTCAAAAACAACACTCCGACTCACATACATTTATGTTAACAATTTTATTGCTTGCATCACATTCACAGGTTTAATTACAATTGAATCAACTTCATCTTCATTATTGATTTGATTATTTCTTCTTTCAATTCGGTGAATTTGTTCTATTTAAAGAGCCAAGTTTCTTTAATAAAGTGCCCGTTTAACTAAATATAACCAAGCTTTAAAGTTAGGGTAACCCAAATTTGAATACTTATGAGTGTTTTACCGTGTAACAAAATTGATTACTAAAAGTAAATATGAAATTAGTTCATTTTATAGATTGTATGCTCAACTTTTTTTGCTGCATGTTTTGTGTAAAAGGATTTATGGTCAGATTAACCAACATAAATAACCAAATCAACAAAAGAAGAAATGGCAATTGATAATTAAGAAGAATATACGTATTATAGTTTGAACGGCGGAAAATACAATAAATTAAAATGAGCAGAAAGTATTGTTGGAAAAATAATTGGTGAATTGAAACTAATCACCAAAGTTGAGGGGTTGAATGGTGTATAATCGAAACATGATGTTCAATTTTCGGTAACAACTCATAATTAAAAACGATATTAAATATAATGTCGGTTACGAATTGTGTTTTAATGACAATTTAACTGTTTGTTGGTTATGGTTTGTGTTGTAAATCAAACTAATGGACGCGCAAGAAAACCGACAAATAATATTGAGAATTGTATTTTAATTAGTTGCGAATAATAGATCCAATTATCATTAATATGTTTACCAAGTTTCGTCTAAAAATCAAATTAATCCTTCTCGATTAGATCTGATTAGAAGAAAAGGTAGAAGGAGAGTGTCATGTTATTTGACGAAATTAAAACAAGACAATAATGTAAAACCGACATGTTGACGTGTTAGGCGTGTCAAACCCAACAAATAATAGGGGTACAACAGACTCCAAATACGCTGCTTTAATGCACTAAAAAGGTAGTACAAGGCAAGCAGGGTCGAACCACAGAGACACGGGATAAAAGTCTATACCTCTTTACGCAAGGTACCTTGGTCACAAAGGGGGTTTGTTTGCAAAAGTCAAATAATGAAAATAACAATCAACTTTGAAACATGCAGAAAATGAAATAGATTTGTAAACAAGTTGTAAAAGTGCTTCCAGTTCTACTTCTCAATGTTGTTGTTCAACTTGATTATGACTTGATGTAATTCAAGATTGCTATTCTAAGTTGGTACTGAAAGATATTAACACGCTCTAACACCTCTCGCTTGCCAAATTATCTAACCAAAACACGCTCTTTGACTAGACCTAGCTTTACTAATTCAACCTAAACACGCTCTTAGATTGTATTGAAAAACTGCATTGAGTTTTATACAAGCTTCCCAACAATGTTCATTTCTTCTCATACGCTCGGAAGTGTGAAAACATGTGATATATGTGTTACAATAAGAAAACTTATTGCTTGTTACTAATTATTAACTTAATAGAACGATTAGGTGCCCTAAAAGTTAATTAACTGCACAAAAATTCAATTCATGAAAGTGGCCAATCAAACACAAATCAAATTTAAGGGTTCTAGTTTAAACAAAAACATAATCACTAGAATAGAATCACAAATCAAACATCAAATCATATGCTTCAAGTCAAGCAATCAACATGTTTTGAACAAGAACTAGAAACTAGGGTTTCTTAGCCACACATGACTAAGAACAAATCACAAGAACAAAAGATGGAAATAATGTGTGATTACAACTTACAAAATGCTAGAAATAATGTTTCCAAACGATTATTGATCAATCCCTTGCAATAACCTTCGAATTCCTTTCTCAAAATATGCTCTGATATGTTGTGTGTGTCCCCAAATGACCCAATTTCCCGTACTATGAAAAATAGAAAAACTGCCAAAAGTTAGTTTTCTTGGGTCGAACACGACCCGTGTTCAACATAGGGAAAAAAGGACACGGCCCGTGTTCAGCTTGGTCAACAACTTTCCTTTTGGTCAACACGGCCCATGTTGATTTTGCAGTGTAAATTCAACACGGCCCGTGTACCCTTTTGACTCCGACTCCCAACTTTATTTTTTCAACTTTTTCGTTCTTCGCCCGATCATCCCGAAATCTTTACCAATGCTTCCCGGCACCTCCCAAAGCGCATTCCAAGCTCCGGTTTACCTGAAAAAGACATGAAAGTGTGCAAATAAGGTTGTTCTAGAGACTAACATGAATATGATGAAAAAAAAGAAAAAGGAAGAACAATTATGCTAAATAGATGCATGAAATGGTACTAAAAGGTGTGCAAAAAGGTGCACAAAATGCACCTAACAAATCTCCCCAAGCTTAGACCTTTCTTGTCCTCAAGGAAGAACAAGAATCAGACGAAACAGGACGATTTCTAGATGACAAAAAGGAACATAGAACAAAAAGGGACAGAAAGATCCTAAAGGCTAGGAATGAATGCATGCAATGAAAACCATGAGAAAGAAACATATGTATAAAGGATACTTAAGGACAAAAATGAACCAAAGAAAAATTTAAGAACACAAGTAATCTTTTTTTATTTATTTTTATAAATATGGACATATACGATCAGACCTTACATCAGTGGGGCTCCAATCATTAATACCTAAGCGACCATCCTGCTACCTTCCACATATCACAGACTCCCAAAGTGAGGAATACCCTAAACGGTGTAACCTAATAATCCAACCATAGTTTTATTTAAACTTCATACCTTAATTAGCTTTATGGGCGAAAATAACACAGTCTGGATCTCATGTCTTTAAGACTAGATGGCCAAGAATCAGAATCGACGCATCCTTAAGAACCCGTCACAGCGAATCAGCTTTCGCTGAAACAGTGAGCCCACCCGAAGGGGCCCAGCTCCTATGCTTTCACTTTTTCGAGAGCCACAAGTATCATATCACACAGTTCTTCATTCGCCAGATTTGACTTGGAGGCGGCTTTTGATTTTGATTGAACTTGGATTTGTATCTTCATTTTGAGCTTTGAATTCTTAAATCAACTTTTGACTTTCTGAAAGTTTCTTCGTTTTGGCACTTGAAATTCTGATTGGGGTACTGGATGTGACAGTTGTACCCTTTCTTCTTTCTTGACTGTGTGGATCTGATACTTAAGCTCTCTGTTACCGCGAGGGTAACGCGTGTCAACAAATAGGTCCGTGTTTTGTGGGTCCAGAGTTGTCGATAAAGATTCTTTTTAAACATTCAGAAGCAAATCATCCTAAAGCTGTTATTACCGCCCACAAAAACGTTTCAGTATTCCATTTTTTATTATTATCTTAGGCTGGGGTCTCGAATTACGGTGTTTGGGTCCCCTAGTTATGATAGCTGATTCTACACTTCCGGCAACTATCCGGTCACTTCAGTATTTTTTTCATTTGAGTTCTCGATTTCCCACTTCATGGAGCTATTGTATGTAAAGAGTGTCATCATCTCGTATAAAGTTTTTTTTTTCAAAAAACAATGCATGCATGAATATGGATGTGAACATGAAAATGCACCTAATGTATATATTTTTTTTTAAAAAAAAACAATGCATGCATGAATATGGATGTGAACATGAAAATGCACCTAATGTACAACTCTACCCCTCCCCAAGCTTAAATATAAGCATCGTCCCCGATGCTTGGAGAGGGCGGAACAACCTATTGCGGAGGAGGAGGAGGATAGTAGCTGGGATTTCGGGTCCAAGCCCAAAAGTCCTCCTCATGTTTGCGCTGACGCTCTTGATCTTGAGCGTATTGAGCGGTGAAGGCGGAAAAACTTTGGGTTAGGTTCGTGACATCTTGATGGTAAGTGTCGAGGCGGGTATGGATCGATTGGAATTGATCCAAATATTGCTGGTGATATGATGGGTATCCAGCATGATGAGATGAGGTAGCACCACCCATGGGAGGGGAGTTTTGTGGTGCCGCCCCGTCACTCTCCTCATCTTCCTCCTCTTACTCTTCGGAGAAGGTTCCGGGGAAGAGATATGGCTTGATTTTCCAGTCGGCGAAATTGTTAGGACGTCTGAGGGCAAGGATGTCCTTGTTCTCCAGGGTGATGAGGAGCCTTGGATTGTGGTTTTGACCCACGGTCCAATTATGGTTCCCCTCCTCCTCTCGAAACATTCTCATAGACTCAAGAACTTCGGTGGTCAGGTAGGTCTCACCAGGCAGGGGTTGGTGAGTTCAGGGGTA